AGTCTCTTATTTCCTTACCTTGTAGACCCTAACAATCAATTAGACTTTGAAAATTTGCTGCTACATTAAAAGGAATAGTAACTCTAACACACTGTGCTGAAATATATCATTGGGTCAATTTGGGAAGTATTTGGATGACACAGAAATCAACTTATAGGAGCAAAAAAGAAGTAATTCAGATTGAATTTACTTAGCAGTTTTGAGTCTTTTCCTCTTGGAGTCAAAATCACAAAAATAGTTTTGCTTTGTTAGTTTATCCTAAGCGGGTAGAGGCAGTGAGAATCCCAAACAATATTTTAAGAATGAATTAGTTGGAGTTCAAATCCAGGCTTGACTAGTGAACAGTGCCTCCTGAGTAAAAATAAATCCTATTGTGAAGCAAATGAAGATTAAGAGGATTAAGCTTCACATGTGGAGGATCAGAAAGTGGATTTGTTTTTTATTATTGAAGATATGTTTATGGGTTAATTGTATGGGGATCCATCTGACTCATTTGTTTTTTCTAAATTGAGATGAGCCAGCATGTCTCTGGGGCAGGACAGACATTTGCTATTTGTGATGATATGTATTATTTGTTCCAGTATTCTTCATTTGCAGCTAAATCATGAGAAAGGGATTATGACATGTAGGTAGTCTCACAAGGAATTAATTGTTACTGACATGTTGGTTATAATTAAAGTTACAGCACTATCTTTATAGAAGTCATTGTAACTCATATACACACTTAAATTTCTTTTGCATGCCCAACATTCACACAGAATTTTAAAGTCCAAGGCAATAGCTAAAACAATTGAGTTATTTAAAAAATATGTGATTTATATATAGAATGGAGTTGTAAAAATTATATCCAATATAATTCATTTAAAACTTGAGCATCAGAGTATTGAGCATTATTTAAAATCATATGCTGTCTTCTCTAGAATTACAATAAATATATGAATAATAACAGTCATAGATTTGTGATAAAATAGAAGACAATATGAAAGCTTCAGAAATCACTTATTAAACTGCAGTTCCTGAGTAATCATAAATGAGAGAAGGATAATAAAAGAGGAAAATTCAGATCACCCTGTTTACAATTTTAAGCTATTCATTAAGGTGCAATACAATTAATTCCATATGAATTTGAATTCACTTTTAAATATATCAAAAAGAAAATACTGTTGGAATTCTAATAGAAGAGGCCAGCTATTTCATCTGAATTCACATGGAAAATAAAATTAATTCAAGTATACATATTACTGAGGGCAAAAAAAAAAAAAATCAGCCAAATTCACACCACCATCATTATAATCATAATCACAATCAAGAAGCACTCACTGAAGCAAAATCAAATAGACATAGACATATTTAGAATTTGGGGGAAAAAAGCTTTTGCATATTTTAATTTGGTGCACATTTTTTCTGTATATAAAATTCAGTTTAATTTAAAAGGGAAATTTTAAACTCAGCTTCATTTAAGATTCAGGTAATTTTCAAAATATTTTGGGCCAAGTAAATCTTTAGATGGAAATATTTCAACATTAGTCAAGAAAAGCAGTCTTACAAGTTCTATAGCAAATTTAATTATTTCAGTGTTACCCAAAGTGGGTAGTATACACAATTGTCCACAATAGTAGTAGGTTTTGATCAAAAGGAAGTTGGAAAGTGCTAATGAGTTAGTTTACCATAAAGTCTCAGCTCTTTCAATATCCAGATATAAGTCATCAATCTACACATTAAATATGCATAAGTACATGCAGAAAAACAACCATGAGATGGGAGAGTATTGCAGGCAGAGGAAAGATTAACAGCCAAGATGAGCAGGTGGGAAAGCATAAGGCATCTTTTGAGAAGCTGTGGCGAAATTCTGGAGTTGCAGGAGATAAATCTGGAAATGGAGGCAAGAGCCAGACTGTGGAGGTTTTGAATGACAGATTAAGTACTTCAGACTCTAAAAGTCAGTTATCACCAATTGCAGATTCCAAGTAGGGGTGTGATAGCATAAATGCAGTAGTTTGGGGAGATTTCATCTGAACATAATGAATAGGTTGTTTTGAGTGGTGAAAATACTGAATAAAGAGGAGTACAATTAGAGGGCCCTTCCAATGATTCATGAGTGAGATTACATACGAATAATGAAAAGGTAATGCAGAATAAAGAATGAGTGCAATATTTATTGCAAAAGGAGAATGAAATATAGTTTCAAAGACCTTTAAAGGGCTCCCCAGGAGAGTGATAGTAGCTTTGTGGCCATAATGAATCTTTAGCAGCTTCTCTGTAAATGTGTCATGCTTGTTACTTACTCTCCTGCCTTAATAGAAGTTTAGGATCTATTATTATTGATCAATCACTAAATTCTGTCCATTCTTTAAGAATTCCAGATTGTTTGTCATTTCTTCATTTTTAAATAAGCTGTATATGTTCTAAGCACATAACATAAATGCATTTTAAAGTTTTATTGACCTATGTGTCTCCCCATTAGTTTATAAATTCCCTGAAGTTGGGGACCAAGTTTGTCCATTTTCCACAATCAACACAGTAAAGCACAGTAAAACACAATTGCTTGATGAAGGAACATGCCAGGAATATTAGAATGGCCACTCGGTGGGACAGAAGGATGAGAATGATAATTTTATCAACATCTTGGAAAGCCAAAGGAAATATTATTGAAAACAGTGATAAAAAGGGAAACTGATTAGGCAGAATTGTAAAATTCTGGCACCCAAGGGAGCTGAGACATGCAGATCAGGTGAGGAGGAATTACCCTAGTAGCCCAAGCTTCTTATAGTGTTCAAAATATGCCCTGGGCTTTCCATTACCTAACCTTCACTTCTATGTTTCTATTGCCATCCCATCTAGAGTTGCTTTAGCAATGTCTACTAATGCATGTTCAAGCACAAATCAAAGGTCATCTTTCTGTGAAAGCTTTCCTGTTTCCCAGTGTTTTTTTCCCCTTTAATGTACAGCCTGAAGAGCACCTATAGGAAATGCCTGAAGGTGATGCTTTAGGGAAGCTTCTCTTAGAGACACATTTCATCCAATAAATAAAAAAAGGATGACAGAATTTAACCATTATTTTTATAACTTCACATGAAGTAATGAACTTAAGCAAATGAACATCTGTTATTGGTACTTGATGTTGGGATTGGTATGGTAACATGCATCTGAAGAGGAATGAACTTATACTCCAAAATCATATACAGTGTTGGAAACCTCCAGTGCTAACTCAATTAAAAAAATATATATAATTAAAAAAATCATGGAAAAATGCTGGCAGGATACCTGATGATGGGTAGACTAAGCTAACAATACCTAAACACAGAGAGAGAACAATATATCGTGTCTCTTTATGGGAGGACACAAGATGCCCTCTAACATAAAATGGGCAAATAAAAAAAATTAAAAACAAAACCAAAAAACACTTGCATTTGACCAGATCTTTATCTGGAACAATAAATTTAAAGGAAATACAGAAGATAGAAGAAAATGTACAAAGCCTAAACTGATTTGCATTAGTTAATATCTCAACTCAGTGCAAAAGTCTAGTGTGTTTAAAAAATTAGAAGTAGTAAAATTTAAAGAATGGAAAATCTATAGTTTAAAAGCATATTAAAACAAACTTAAAGATGTGTCAAACAAAAGATATTTTTGGTTCCAGATTTTAAAAAGCACCTACTTATAGATCATTCATAAGATAGGTAAGGCAACAAGACCCTAATTGACATTATAGTTATTGTTAATTTGATGATATAATAATGGCTATGTGTATTGTACATTTTGAAATACTTTAAAATGAAATGTTATGATATCTGAAATTTGCTTCAAAATAATGTGTTGTGGTGGTGGAAGCTGAGAGAAATGACAATGATATAAATTAACAAAATTGATTGTTGGCACTGAATGGTGGCCACATGGTTCACTTATACAGATGTGTGAAAATTTTCACTTTGTATCATCTTAAATACAAGATACTAGACCCCCATCTCAGAATTATTGAGTTAGAATATTTGAAAGAGAATCTTGGAACCTGCATTATTAAGTTTCAGAGAGATTATTATGTACACTTAGATTTATGAATTAGAGTCCTAAAATAATTTACCCCTTGCTCTGGTCTCCTAAGATAAATAAAATTAACCGAGAAATGGATTACATACTTATGTCATATTTTCAAAGATAGAAACTGTCTTACTTACACCTCCTAAGGCCATATATTTTATATGACATATTCCAAGATATAAGGCCATTCATTTGTCATTCAGACTATACACTTTCTCACAACTATTAGCAATGATACTCAAAACCATTGGAATTTCTCAGTGTTATACACAATCCTGATTTTTAAATGGTCAATATTTCCATTCTTATTCATCAAGGAAGAAATATAATAGGATGAAAACAATAACCTTTATTCACAGATAGAAATAGAGAATATCATTAGACAAAGGTAGAGAGACCATCTATACTGATAATACAGATCCATATATTTTAAGAAGAAATTCAAGGTTTCTACCTGCAATTAGCCTTCAGTTTTGTCTGAGTTTGTGTTGTTTGCAATGGTTCATTTATTCAGTAACTACTTGCTTCCAGAGAGGGTATTCTTTGGGAAATGTGACCTTTTGTTGACAATTATTTCCCAAAGATCTAGAATTTCTTATACCTTAGAGCCTTAGAAATGCTTCTGTAATAAGTTCTGTTCTAGTACTGGTCCAACATTGTGTTCTGCCATTAACTAGGCAGGTGATTTTGCACAGGATACTATTTTTTTTAACTGGTTTTCATTTTCCCATATATATATTTCTAATACTATTAGTCCACTCTTAGATCATCTCTAAGTTCACTTTTAGCTTTATGTTCCTTCTAGGAAAAATGTTTCACCTAAACTCTAAGCAGAAAACACAATTTTTCAAGAAAAAAAAATGTGATGGTTTCACCTCTGCATCGTAGATGACAGTAGCCACAATTATGCTCTGAAGGTATAGATCCAGGAATATGAAGGAAATTTTCCCGCTATGTCTTACCTGTTTATGGGCATGGTCATAAGAATTAATGTGATTGTCAAACTCCTGGTGTTTGTGATACTGCTTGTCACATAATTCACAGTAAAAGTTTGCCTTCATGTCTTCCAGGGCCCTTCCTGTGGACTTCTCCTTTTCTGGAAAATCCTTCAAAAGAGGCAAAAATATTGGTTATATTTCTCTCTAATCTCAATCCGATCTCATGTTAATCAAGTTGTTATTTTACTGTGACTAAAATAATAGGGTTAAGGTCATTAATTTTTAGAATTTCTTGGAGTGAAGAAATAACTTTGAGCTCTTACTCATCAGTGAACATATATTGACCAAAGAAGTCACCTACTAGTCATTATTTATTCTTCTTATTACTTAGTTGTGGCTCTGTTCAGTCACCTAACTGGAATATTCACTATCATTTCTTCTACCTATCCAATGACTTATCTCAAACAGAAGCCCCACTATCTCTCTGAAGTATCTATTACTGCAAGCCTTCTATACTATAATAATTTATTGGGACTTGGGCTATACTTATCATTCACCTACTTCTCTCTTTCTGTAATTTACCCTCACCAAGATTGCCAGTTTTTACTCTTCTTTGTATATAATGCCTTTCCCTATCTTGTTAAACTGGTAAACTCCTTTGCCAACTCCCAGCTCTTTGCCTCCTCTGGGATGTATTTCCCATGATGTTTCTAGGAGGAAGGTCATCATCACGTTCCTTTTAGCCACACATATCTATGATCATTACTACTTGTTTTCCTTCATAGATATTTCATCTGATATTATCTTTTGCATTTTGTGTTTTATACATCATCAGTCAACTAACCAATACACTTCATATAGACTCCCTGTGTGACCATCATAAATAAGCTAGAGTCTAATTTGTCCTTAATTTCTAACTCCAGCAAAATTTATTCCATAAACTTCTATCTGCTAGATATCACCAATGGGTATATCACATTTTTCATGACTATTATTATGGTAATATTCTCTCAATCTCAGAGTTCTGGGCACACCACTTCCTTACTTAAAAATACTCTTGCACTATATCATTGCTTACAGATAATAGTTACAAATACTCATTGAGCATAAGCTATATGCTAAGTATTATAAGCTAATCATGTGAATTACCTTATTCCTCACACCAACCCTATAAATATAAGTTCTATTTTAATCTAATGAGTACCAATGTATAAACCATCTTAGATCACACACTCATGGTTACTGAAGTAGTAAGTGAAGAGGGGATTTTTATTTTATACCTGGGGGTTAAGGTATCAAAAAGGTGTCAGAGAAGGTTTCCTGACTAATTACTGGAAGTATAAAGGTTTTCCAGAAATAAGCCCAAGAGTCCTGTGACTTGAAACAAAATTAGAAATTCTTGAAGCAAAACTGGAGACTTTAACAACCTGCACAAGAAAGGACACTCCCCAGTTCTGTGTGCTTAAATAAATAAATCTTTTTTTAAAAAAAGTCTGCTTAAATAAATAAATCTTTTTTTAAAAAAAGTCTGTCTTGTTTGTTTGTTTACAAACAAAACAAAATAAAACAAGGACTCTAAAGATGAACTAATTCAACTCCATACAATGGAAGTGGGTAAAGAGAGATACCTGAGGCACAGGACCTGAGCAGGAGCAGGCCCAGAAACCCTTCCGGCTGTGTGCCCTTGTTTTACTTGTGGATCATGGGAGGTAAAAACCAAGTGGAATGGATTACAAGTTGTACTGATGGGAGATAGTTGTGGAGAAATGGGGTGTGTCCAGACTGCCTAGTTCCCAGTGATGAAAAGTGCCCTGAATTATAGTCTCCACCCTCCCTCAAGGATGGAGTTGACCTTATAAGGCATGGTCACAGCCCCCAGACTGCAAAGACAACTCTGTGAAGGGGGCTCTCAGGATTAGTCTCAGGGGATACCATGACTTTTCTCTGACTCTTGCTAGGATTGTTTCTCATATGCTTTCATACTATAATTCCAGGGACTAGATTGGAACTGGGGACAGTTTTCTTCATTATTTCACTGAAATATCAGTTTAGGAAACTGACCATGTGTGCTAGTTATGATCAGTGCACTGCTCATAAATGCTTCTGTTTCAGTAACTGGGGAAGGGTTTGCAACTGAGACTGCAAAGTAAACCTGTGGTTAAGAATATATTTTATTATTATTCAAAATTATATAGCGCTTAATGACCAGTAGTGAAACTTATATATTACTCTTGGTATATCTGTCTAAACATGTTTCTTTCTGAAACATCCTTTAATTAGTATAGCACATGATTTTCAATGCAACATTTTATAATTATGAGAGAAGTACCAACACTTTATTCATATGCCAAAACTGTGAAAGTTCAGTTTTACAAAGTCACCACATTAAATGTCATGTCCATTTCATGCTTAATTTTCCTTACCAGGAAATGATGTGATATTCCCATTTCCCATCCCACTATAAAAGGGATCAATATAAAGAATTAGTGAGATTCTCCAAGACATACCTTTTCACCTATTAAGAGAGGAAGAGTATACAGGTGGAATATAAATGCCATAACAAAATATACTGAGTTAATTATCTGCTGTATCTATCAGATCCAGAAGTAAGAACATAAATCCAATAGTCAGTGATCTGGGATTAGAAATGGGGAAGTTGAAGCAAACATGGAATATAACCAAGCTAGGTAAGTAAGAGGAATCCTTAAAGGAATGCTTAAGAATCTTCATACAACTCAATAAGAAACCAACTCAATCAAAAAAAAGTTCAGTAGTCACTTCATCAAAAAAGGCAGACAGACGGTAAGTAAGCACATGAAAAAATGCTTTTCATCATTTATTGTCAGGGAAATGCAAATAAAAACTACAATGTGAAAAAATTTCATACCCTTATTTAAAGAAATCTTCTACAGGGATGTAGAAGAAAAGGAACCTCTCACATTGTTTATGGGAACATAAACTGCTTCAAAATCTATGGAAAACAGTATGGAGGTTACTCAAAATACTAAAAATAGTTCTACCATATAAAGAGCAATTCCACTTCTAAAAATTTGTCCAAAAGATTAAAAAACAGTAATTAATAGGGAAATATATATTCCTATATTCACTGCAGTACTATTACTATAGCCAAATTTTGGAAATAGTGTAAGTGCCCAGTGACAGGTGATTAAATTTGAAGATATAGAACACACCCACACCCACCCTCACACACACACACACTGGAATACTATCCAGCAATAAAAAAAGGGATGAACCCTTCTCATTTGTGACAACATGAAGGGAACTAAAGAGGATTATCCTAAACAAAAATAAGTCAGAAGAATAAAGATAAATATTAGATGATTTCACTAATATGTGAAATGACAGAAATAAAACAAATGAACAGACAAAACTGAACCAAAATAAACCCTAGAAATCTTGATGTAGAATTCAACATACCAGATGGGACGGGACAGTGGAGAAAGTGTAGAGGAGGCCCAGTGAATTATGGTGGAGGACTATGAGTAGCGTGGTTTTGAGTGCTACATGGTAACATACATCTGAATGTTTATTGCCTATCTCCCTTAATCATACACAGTGTTGTATACCAACATTATCTCAACAAAAAATACTATTAAAATAAATATTTATAAAAATTAAAAAAACTAAAAAAGATTAAATTTTGTCATTTATGAGAGTATGGTTGGCAGCGGGATATATTATGGCAAATTAAATCAGAAGAGAAAAAGAAATAACAGGTGATTTCACTCAGATGTGGACCACTCATATATACACACACACGTGTGTGTGTGTGTGTGTGTGTAGCAAAAGAACAGATAAAACTAAACACAAATCTGAGAAATCTGAATAAAAATTGATGCTACCAACGTAGGAGTGAGGATGTGAGAAGCTAAGGAATTGGTGGCCTGGTGGACTACAATGGAGGATTATGGGTACTTTGATGGTGGGGGTAGTGTAAAAACATTTGAAGGGGTATGAACTTATACCCTGAAATCATACACAGTGTTTACATTAATTCAATAAAAATGTACAATAAAAAAGTGAATAAAATGGAGTTTAGTTTCTTTTCTCCTACTATGACATCATGATGCAACAGATATATATTGACCCAAAAGATTAATAATAGTTGAGCCCCAGAGATATTTTTTGAAAATCTTGAGATAAAAATGAGAGATGAGAATCATTGTGTGTCTCAAATAAATGTCTGCAAATTCTAAAAAAAAAAAAAATTTGACAAAACTTACAGTTTAACATTGCCTTGATAAAAAAAAATAAAAAAGATAACATCAAATAAAATTAGCTTATTAATGAGTCATATACATTAAAAAGACTTAATGTTGTGAATAAAAATAAAACAAAGCAAGAGCCCGAGTGGACTTTTACTAAAAGACCCCAAAACAGTGACCCATATAAAAATCTATTGTAAGGTAGGTCTTTTTTTTTTTTTTTTTTAAGTCTGAAATTGGATTATCTTTGGAGATAGAACTCTATTGTAAGGTAGGTCTTTTTTTTTTTTTTTTTTTTTTTTAAGTCTGAAATTGGATTATCTTTGGAGATAGAACTGTATGTATCTGAAAGCTGCAGGGTCTTAGATTTGTAGGACAGAAGTACTGTATAGCCCACTTCTACCATTTTGCAGAAGAGGCAACTGATACTTAGTAATTTCTTATTTCTTGGTTTGTATTACAAACAGGTAATGGTAATGCAGGGATATACATTCCACTGTGTCACTGCCTCTACATCATTCATCCAAAAATTTGTTCACCCATCCAACTAAGCATTCATCCAGCTAACCATTAAATATTCATACAATCAAGAATTTCTTATTGAGAACCTTCTGAATGTTAATTTCTTATTGGATTTTGACTTTAGAAGTTTATAGTCTAATAATCACATGTTATGAAGTAACAGGACAATCACATGTAATGAAGTAAACTGAATCAGCATAATAATTATAAGTTGTGATAGAATATGAACTAGTTAATACTAGTCAAGAAAAATGGAAATACCATACAGTACAGTATATGTACAATATGATAACATACAGTATGATATGTACTAAATTCTTGCCTTTTTTTGGTTAAATGATAAGGATTCCAACCTTGAAGAAAAATTAAGTGACATTTATTCTCGGAAATAATTATGTAACCTGTAAATATAGTGAGTGA